GGGGGGGGGGTCCAAAAATCGTATACTAGGAATATACCACACTGCCTCTGAATATGTCTGATTACCATAAAGTGTCAAATTGATTGTAGTAAACTAAACTTCTGTCTTGTTAGAAATACACGAATAAACTGTTAATTAATTATACAGTTACTTTACAGGCAAGTTTAAGGAATTTTACTATACCATGAATTCCCAAGACCAATTTGGCCAACAAAACATCCAGAGCGTAGCGAGGGATGTTTTGTTAAGGCCAAAAATGATTGGAAAAATTGAAATCAAACCAAACAAAAACCCATAAGTTTATATACATCATAAAAATGTTGTACATTGTCGGGGGGGAGGGGGGTAAAAGGTTGAAGGAGAGGATGAAAGGCTGGCGGTGAGGATGAAAGGTTGGAGGTGAGGATGAAAGGTTGGTGGAGATGATGAGAGGTTGGTGGATATGATGAGAGGTTGGTGGAGATGATGAGAGGTTGGCGGAGATCATGAGAGGTTGGCGAAGATGATGTAAGGGTTAGAGGAGAGGTTGCAGGGTTAGGTTAGGTTAGGAGATGAATAAAGATTGAAGGAGAGGATGAAGGGTGGGAGGGAAGATGAAGGGTTGTAGGGAAGATAAAAGGTTGGAGGAGATGATGAAAGGTTGGAGGAGATGATGAGAGGTTGGTGGAGATGATAAGAGGTTGGTGGAGATGATAAAAGGTTGGTGGAGATGATAAGAGGTTGGTGGAGATAATGAGAGGTGGCGAAGACGATAGATAAAATATTGGAGGAGAGGATGAAAGGTCGGAGGATAGGATGAAAGGTTGGAGGAAATTACAAAAGGTTTGAGGAGATAATGAAAATTGGAGGAGATGATAAAAGGTTGGAGGAAATTACAAAAGGTTTGAGGAGATGATGAAAAATTGGAGGAGATGATGAAAGGTTGGAGAAGATGATGAAAGGTTGGAGGAGAGGATGAAAGGTTGGAGGAGATTATGAAAGGTTGGAGAAGAGAATGAAAGGTTGGAAAAGGTGTGATGCCAGGGGTTTAAAGAGACAAACCAAAATTGGAGAGGGAATATTGTAACAAATACACTAATAACTATTAACTAATATCTTTATAACCTGTTGTCTGCTAATATATGCTTTATCTGATTTTGACCCATCGGCCAGTAAATATTCTTCCTGTATTATTAGACCCAAATATATCAGACACCAAATACATCGAATACGATTATACGAATTTCCCCTTAATCTGCGTCCTTATTATTTCCCCTTAATCTGCGTCCTTATTATTTCCCCTTAATCTGCGTCCTTATTATTTCCCCTTAATCTGCGTCCTCCTTAATTCCCCTTAATCTGCGTCCTCCTTAATTCCCCTTAATCTGCAATGGTTGGAAATGATCATTAACCCGAATGGGATAGATTCAGAGAGATTAAAGTCTAGAATCGTCTGTAGATAAAGAGTATTTTTGAGGTTGAGCATCATGCATCTGTTTCTCTCCTTTCATAAAAAGGGTAATTTCCTTCCTGTTATTTATGTGCAGTATCGCTGATACTAAAGGATATATGTACTATGTAGATATATAATAAAACAATAACTAACTAGAAATAGCAAAAAAAGGTTTTTTAAGTTTTATCTTTTTTTTAGCTGACATAAGCCTTTTTAATTTTTTCATATTACTTATATATATAACTTTTAATGGGGAAATTGAACACATGACTTATTTATGTCTTTGTTGATCATGTCAATCCAGATCCTCGCTGTCTAATCTCTTCTATTTAGTATTCTATTTTATGTCAGGGTAACAGTATTAAGCAATTTACCTAGCTTTGATAAACTCAGGTTATCTTGTATCATTTTGGTTTTATAATTGTCTGAAAATAATAAACTTAATAAAATCAAATGTGTTATAACTTCAGTAAACTAAATTACACCATTCTGGATATTCCTGAACATCTTCAGGAATATCCAGGAACATTGTCCATATAAACTGTTTCGTGGAGTTAAGGTTCTGGATCCAGACAGAAATTTATCTTCAGAATATAAATCTGTAAAGTGTTAATTATTTGATATCTCCCGTAAAGTTCAGTACACTTTAAAACTGGTTTCTATTTATAAACATCATTTGTCATTGCATAGTACGAACCCCGGTAATTTCAAGCCGTTCCTTATAGTTTTACTATCCGATATGACTAAATGGTTAAAATGTCAGAATGGTTGGTTTGATTTGATTTGATAGACCGGAATTTCATCAGATATTGTAGAGATACTTGAGGTATGATCTAAGGTTTATTGTATTGGGGTTTGTTGAGATCAAGAAGGGTTACTAGTTCTATATGCTCCTACCATTCATCATCTTCCTGCTTTCATGGGGACGGGCCTAAGGGGGAACTGAGCGATTGATTCCTTCTCTATTTCTTATATCATTTACACAGCCTATATTGAATTGGGATTTATTTTAACCTTTATATATTCATATCACTTCTCGTATATTTTATGATTTTATAGTATTGTAATAGTTTTTATATATTTATAGAATAAACGCAGAGTATAGAATTCTGTCTTTTCTGTTGTATTCTACTCTACTAAGATGAGCTCAACGTAGTTCTATTGTTTGAATGATCGGATAGTAGTATCCCTAAGGTTTCTCGATTATAGTCGTCCAGGGTGACAAAACATATACAATGGATCAAAACTAATTTTTAACCCATTATAAACATGTTGAACCAAAACTGAAAACATTCTCAGAGCCTAAAAATGGTTTTTGTCAACGAAATAAATTGCGAAACAGACGGAGAGAAGAATAAAGGAGAGTTAAGTTGAGAGGGGGAATAATTAATAATTATTTTATTAATTTATTATCAATCTATGTACTTATAGTAAACATACATATTGAAACTTAATTGTTTTAAATGTATGCATGGCATTCTTCTATCGAGAGATTATTTCAAACTAAAACCACAGTTAATAAAATATGAACTATATTAAAGTTTATATATTTCATGTTTAGAGCGTTTAAACATCAAAGGAGGGAATATTTAGAATTTGATTTAAATAATAAAATGTTTAACCTAAAATTCCAGGCTTTGCTATGTTAAATATTGATGCCAGGGGAATAGTATAATATGATAATTTTGCGTCATTAGGGAAAAGTACCTCCCCTATTAACAGTATGAATGTCATTCGATTCCCCTATCAAAATAAATAAAAGAGTTTTTCCAAAATTAATAACATCAGGGAAAAAGTAAATAAAGAAATTTAAAGAAACGTATGAATGCAAGCCACAAAAGTCATTTTACGTGTAAAAAAAATACACCAACGTTTTTTCTTTTTCAAATTCTTATTCTAACTTAATAGATATATTTATTTTTACCTTTATAATTAGTTAACTGAACAAATCACTTGTATCATACAGTGAATCCCAGATATATGAATACATAGCAAGAGTTTTTATGATGTCGTATTACATATTTAAGATCAAATGCCGCGGAAAAATGAGTTTAATATAGCCCTGAAATATGAATGCAATTGAAATATTAATATTAAACTCATTTTTTCCGCGGCATTTGATCTTAAATATGTAATACGACATTATAAAAACTCTTGCTATGTAATCATATATCTGGGATTCACATTCTTTTTTCAGTTCGTGCATAGTTGTTAGAATAACAACAAAGACGATATTTTTAAGCATGAATAATTACGTTGTATTTTTTCTCTTTTTTTTCTTTGGTGTCTTTATCTAGAGTGTTATCTTTTTTGGTAGGGAATGTGTTTTTTGCATAGTAGTTTACGATAGATTTTGCATATTGCAAAATATTTAAAAATCTTAAATTACGGAATGGTAAAAAATACTTTTATTTAATAGATTTTATCTAACATAAATTAGTTATGAGAGAAACTTGGCTTAAAGGTGCATATTCTTGCCCTTGTCGGGGGGGGNGATGATTAGCTCTGAGATTCATATCTCTCCTCCTCTTTTCGAATCATTTTTATCCTTCAAAGTCTCAACCCGAAAACATGGGGTTCTTTCAAAGTTGGGAAAGGGAGTGTGCGCAAATTTTTAAAAATCTTGCTTTTGTGTCATGTTTTATACCTTTTGTTACTCTCTTGAAGTGCTACGAGGAATTGTAAACCCCTGTTCTAATGAAAGATGGGAATTGTATGGTGTGATGAGCTTGTGTTGTGTTTGATATATGTATTACTATTGTATACTGTATATTGTTATATTACTGGAGAATGTTTAATGAATTCTCTTTATAATTCAAATTAATTAAACCATAAACCGGGCTGCAGAATGCCAGATGGGCAAGGCAGGGATGTAAACATGGAGGGGGGGGGGGTCTCAAATAAAAGAGACTGTATGTTGTGAATGCCCTACTCCATAAGGGTTTCCCAAACCTGTATCTAACCAGGTACAACTCAGTTTCACTTTACTATCAATGTCAAAACCCGGACACGTTCTCGTTAACTATCAATGTCAAACCAATGGGCACGATCTCGTCAGCTATCGATGTCAACCAGACACTAGCTCGTAAACTATCAATGCCAAAACAATGGTCACAATCTTATCAGCTATCGGTGTCAACACGGACACTAGCTGGTAAACTATCAATGCCAAACAATCGGCACGATCTTATTAGCTATCTATGTCAACCGGACACTAGCTTGTAAACTATCAATGCCAAACCAATGGGCACGATCTCGTCAGCTATCGATGTCAACCGGACACTAGCTTGTAAACTATCAATTTCAAACCAATAGGCACGATCCTCAACTTGCTTGTTAAAACAAGGAACAATTACTCTATCTCAGTAATCAACGTGGAGTCTCTATATCAACTAATGTGTATTTAAACTTTAAACATAGAAGAACAACAATTTCTTCCATATTATTAAAAAGATAAAGTTTTCAAGGGTCCTGTTGTAAATCAGGCATTGTCATCTTAGCATGGAGGATCATTTGAAATCACACTGACATGTAATTAATACATCAATCCCCATATTTGTTAACCTGAACATATCTTGATAGATTACGTACATTGTCTGTAAATCTAAATGCGTTGTAAAAGGAAAGGGGGGGGGACATTTCCTAAGATTTTACCGACTGTTAAAACCAGTTAATTTTAAAATTTATCAGTAATATGTCATAAATCCATTATTTTTATTTTAAATCTATTTCTATTAGTCTCACAACAATCTTAAACAACGCTTTTATAGTCCAGCGAGTGAAATTACTTGGGGGGGGGGGGGGGGAATATTCCACAGTTACATTAAGGGGTTCAACCAAAATAAAAAATTGTTTCAGGAAAATTCCGCATTTTTCGCAAAAATGTTTTGTTTAGCATAAAATTCCGCGAAAAAAACACTGAATTTGCTGAGCAGAGATTTGCGAGAGAAAAAATTCCGCAAAATTCTTCACCATTTTTTGCCTCTTTTCGCAAAATTCATTTAGTTATAAAGAAAATTCACATTTTTTCTTTCGTTGGAAACCTTAGTTACATTTTCCATCAATTAGCAAACATTGGTTCATTAAGATTTTACAAGGAGACATGAGACTAGAATGGAGAGGGCATCATAAGAAATCTGTAAAATTTGGAAACCAAATTTTTAAATTCCTCAACAATCCCTTTAAATTGATAAACTATTCACCAAATTTTTAAATTCCTCTGCAGTCCCTTTAAGTTGATAAACTATTAACCAAATTTTTAAATTCCTCAACAATCCCTTTAAATTGATAAACTATTCACCAAATTTTTAAATTCCTCAACAATCCCTTTAAATTGATAAATTATTCACCAAAATTATAAATTCCTCAACAATCCCTTTAAATTGATAAATTATTCACCAAATTTTTAAATTCCCCAACAATCTTTTTAAATTGATAAACTAGTCACCAAAATTATAAATTCCTCAACAATCCCTTAAATTAATAAATTATTCACCAAATTTTTAAATTCCTCAACAATCCCTTTAAATTAATAAACTATTCACCAAATTTTTAAATTCCTAACCAATCCGTTTAAATTGATAAATTATTCACCAAAATTATAAATTCCTCAACAATCCCTTAAATTAATAAATTATTCACCAAATTTTTAAATTCCTCAACAATCCTTTTAAATTGATAAACTATTCACCAAATTTTTAAATTCCTCAACAATCCCTTTAGATTGGTAAACTATTCACAAAATTTTTTAATTCCTCACCAATCCCTTTAAATTGATAAACTTTTCACCAAATTTTCAAATTCCTCAACAATTCCTTTAAATTGATGAACTATTAACCAAATTTTTAAATTCCTCACCAATCCCTTTAAATTGATAAACTATTCACCAAACTTTTTAATTCCTCAACAATCCCTTTAAATTGATAAACTATTTACCAAAGTTTTAAATTCCTCACCAATCCATTTAAATTGATAAACTATTCACCAAGTTTTTAAATTTTTTAACAATCCCTTTAAATTGATAAACTATTCACCAAATTTTTAAATTCCTCAACAATCCCTTTAAAATGATAAACTATCCAACCCGCTAAATCCTTGACTTTTCTACAGTTCTGAATCTGAAGAGGTTTCTTTGTTAAAAGTTTTGACGGAAGATAAAGAATCACAAAAGAATTAATTATATGATTCAAATATTGCATACAGGGGTGTATACTGTATATTTAATTGAAAACTTGTTCCACCCCCCCCCCCCTTTAAAACTCATGTTTGTACCCAGATTTTAAACATGTTTGCATGGTGCGCAATTTATTTTAGAGTTTTATTTGCTCAATTTTGGGAAATAATGGATTTTTAGAGGAGAAGTTTCCAGGTAAAAAATATTAGAGTTAAGTTTTTATTTTTTTAGTCCCCAAAACCAGTGCTTAAGATCCGGATCCATTGGATCCGCAAGATTTTGGCTACCTGTAACCGCAAAAATATGCGGATCCACAGATCCCCGGATCCAAGGGGCAAAAACCAAAAAAACTCTCAATACCCAAATATGAACTATTGAAAAAAGAGAGCTTATAAAAATTTCTTAATGGTTCATCAAGTTTAAGCATAAAAATAAGCAAAAAAAAATATAAAAAAAAGGAAATTCTGTTTTGATAAAAAAAATTCAGTAAATCTTTAAGATCCGGCTCCTTTCTTTTCCAGTGCGGATCCAGGATCCGGAAATGCATCAAAATTAAATGGATTCTAAGCATTGCCCAAAACAATTTCATCAACTTAAATATTTCCCAAATCAACTATTTGCCAAATTAGCTATTTCCAAAAAAATCGGCTAAT